GTCTGTCTGTCTGTCTATCTATCTATCTATCTATCTATCTATCTATCTATCTATCTATCTATCTATCTATCTATCTATCTATCTATCTATCTATCTATCTATCTATCTAGTCTTTCTTGTAAATGAGTCCTCGAGGCTCAATGGGATTTACCTGTCTAAATAAAGGTTGAATGAATATACTGTATGCCATTTAGATATTTTAAGTTGTGATAGCAAAATGTCCTGAACATAGACCTCCATTGTTTCTGTGTGTTGGAATAATTGCAGAGCACAGCTGAAACACAGGTAAATATAAACATTGTTTAGACTAAGTGTGGATCTCCACCAATTGTTGATGAAAGTGAATACAAAGATGAAACATCAAACATAAGAATAATTTCTTCTTTTTTGTTTGGAGGAGGCCATAGTCAGTGATGGTAACAGTCAGATAAGCCCAAATGAGAAATAAAATTTGATTAGATGTTAAAGAGAAGTAGGAAGGAGATGCAGTTAGAGAGGACATGGAGGTAGGTGGAGTTAGGACAGAGGATGCAGAGGACAGATGGAGGAGGATGACTCACTGTGGCAACCCCTGAAGAGGGAAAGGTTGAAAAAAGAAGTTAAAGAGAAGTAGGGATGAATCTTTCTAGATCACAGTGTATTGTATTGCAAAATACCAACTTTGAGAATATACAATAGTAACTGTAAATAGGTCAAATGATGGATTTATTATTATTATTATTATTATTATTATTATTTATTTATTTTTCAGAAATGGGCTCCCATATTGGACTCTCTTCTCTTTGACATAAAATAATTTATTTAAAAATACAATTAGGCAACAATCCACAAATTTAATCTTTCATTATTTTTTGGTAATTCAATAGAGAATTAGGCACAAAAATCTGTATGTATTTTATTTTGAGGAATTCATTTTAAATTCATCTGCATGAGATATTCAGCCTCATATTCATATTCAGCCTCTTCAGTCAGAGGCTTCTTCAGATCGGCTAAGACAGACCACTACAAGAGATCCTTTCTGCCCACAGCCATCAGCATCTGTAACAACTCATTAATGAAACCAGGATGAGTTACAACAACATGTAATTTCCTTTGGGATTAATAAATTGTTTTTGTATTGGACTTAATTTAATATACATGAATGCCCCTGCCAGCTCCTTGCAAATGTTGGATGTCGTCTACCATGCTGTCACACTAAGGTTCATAACTGGTTGTAGCTATACCATCACTGCACTCTGTACTCATTGGTCAGTTAGCCATCATAATTTATATGTAGGCTCTCACACTGGTCCATCCATCCATCCATCCATCCATCCATCCATCCATCCATTCTCTTCCGCTTATCCGGGGTCGGGTCGCGGGGGTAGCAACCTAAGTAGGGAGGCCCAGACTTCCCTCTCCCCAGCTTGGGCCAGCTCCTCCAGGGGAATCCCAAGGCGTTCCCAGGCCAGCCGAGAAACAGTTCCTCCAGCATGTCCTGGATCTTCCTCTGGGTCTCCTCCCAATGGGACGTGCCCGGAACACCTCACCAGGGAGGCGTACAGGAGGCATCCTAACCAGATGCCCAAGCCACCTCAACTGGCTCCTCTCGATGTGGAGAAACAGCAGCTCTACTCTGAGTCCCTCCCGGATGACCGAGCTTCTCCCCCTATCTATAAGGGAGAGCCCAGACACCCTGTGGAGAAAACTCATTTCGGCCGCCTGTATCCAAGATCTTGTTCTTTCTGTCACAACCTAAAGCTCGTGACCATAGATGAGGGTAGGAATGTAGATTGACCGGTAAATTGAGAGCTTCACCTTTTGACTCAGCTCTCTCTTCACCACGACAGACCGGCACAGCGCCCGCTTCACTGCCAACGGTGCACCTATCCGCCTATCGATCTCACGCTCCATTTTTCCCTCATTCGTGAACAAGACCCGGAGATACTTAAACTCCTCCACTTGGGGCAGGACCTCCTCCCCGACCCGGAGAGGGCACTCTACCCTTTTCCAGCTCAAGACCATGGCACATCTTCACTGGTACATCTTCATCTATAAATCACTCCTTGGTCTGCTACATTCTTATATCTTCCCCCATGTCACGCCGTCAGTGCAGCTACAGCGTGCGCTCGCAGGCCATCATAGCAACGTTCCCTTACTGCGGACTGAACTTGGCAAAAAGGCCTTTTCTTACTCTGCTCCTGTAACCTGGAACACCTTGCAAAAAGTTATGAAGCTGTCCACTTTGATTTCTGTAAGGGATTTTAAACAATTGATAAGGTCAATAGAAAAATCAAAGGAAATATGTTCTTGTTTTTGGTATTACCTTGTTTTATAAGGCAACTTGATTTTATTGTTTTATAACACTACTTTTTATTTGAATTGCATTTTATTGTTGTTTATTGTCTGTACTGTATATGTTGTCTGCCTAAGACAGGTCTCTCTTGAAAATGAGTCCTCGTGACTCATTGAGACTTCCTATACAAATAAAGGTTGCATGAAGAAATGAATGAATAGGATTCTTGATTTTACTTTCAGAGCGTCTTTATTGGTTTTCCTTATCGACAACTTTGAATATTATATAATAATATTATATAACAGAATTAGTTTTTATTTCGGATACGAGTTTTCTTCTTCAACGTTAGGTAGTGTTGAGGGATCACCGTCCTACGCCCTAAGCAGCTGGAGGCGGAGAGTGCAGCCTGGGGACCTACGGTGGTACTACAGCCGGCCAGAGGCTGTGCTCTGCTGCGGAGTTGGGAAGCTGCTCACGGAGCGGAAGATGGTGATTGTGTGGAGGCTGCAGTGGAGTCACCGGAGCTGATGCAGAGAGGGAGACGAGGCAAGACACACAGAAAGCCGTGAAAAGAACAACGGTACAAACCAGGCCTCCGCAGCCACACACTGATCTATTTCAGGAAGGAACATCAGGGCAGCAGAGACCGTTGAGGCTGCACTGGTGAGAGCAGCTAGCTCATTAGCTTGTAGCTGCAACGCTAGCTTATGTTGGCTGTGGACTTGAAAATGCTACACCGACAAGACAACGACGATGTAACGGATTTCCCTATTATTTCAAACAAATGTAATCCAGAGAAGATGCGTCAGCTAAAGGAGTGAATTGTTAAATGAAGATCAATTGGTGTTTGCTACCGCTAGCCTTAGTTAGCCTTAGCCAATGCTAGCACACTTTCTGTGACCCAAACGTGAAATTCGTCAACTGGACGGGCAAAATTACGACCAAAACATTGTTGTCTAGTAGTTAATTTCGATCACTTTTAAAGTACTCTGCTGTTTTTAGTTCGCAATGGATCGCTAAGACACAATTAGCATCTCCAGTCGAGTGATTCATATATGTGAAGGCTAAAGCTAGCTAGACTGGACTAATATAAGAAACGTGTTTAGGCTAGCTCCACAGTGTAAATAAAGGACGAAATAAACTGCATACAATAGATTGATAACTTTTATGTGTTTTGGGTTGACTGCCACAACATTTGATGCAGGCTATTGCAAGTATAATAATCTGGTTTAGTTTTATGTGGGGCCTTATTTTCATTTGAATTCACTTGAAAGAAACACACAAAGCACATTATGTGCTGGATAGATGTTTTGAATTGAGCAAATGGTAAAAACAACAACAACAACAACAAAAAAACAGCATTGTAAAATGTAATTGAAGCTGGTCATACTAATGGACTGATGTAAAACCATGTTTCTACAGATAATAATGTCCCTTTCCCCTGACAATGAAGATGGATACTTTGTTGCCATGGATACAGAAGATGACGGTACAGAGACTGCTGGGATAGCAGAAGAGATGGAGACGAAGACGGGGTCATGTAGAGAAGAAGGGAACATGAACAGTGGTGCCAAAGAAAAAGGGAGAACAATGGTTGAGTTGCCAGAGGAAGTTCTTGAATATATTTTGTCCTTCCTCTCACCTTATCAGGAGCACAAGACCGCTGCATTAGTTTGTAAGCAGTGGTACCGTCTCATTAAAGGTATACCCATCACATGTGCAGAATCTTATCTGAAATTAAATTTGATGTTGGCTTGCATAGTGTTACTTTGAATACATTTGGTTTGTATACAATCCCAATTTTGAAACAAATTTGGATGTTGTGTAAAAATCAAAAACAAAATACAATGATTTGAAAATCTCATATTTTATTTACAATGAAACACACTGAGCATGTCAAATGTTTAAACTAAGAAATGCCAGTTTTGGAAAATTATAATTTTGATGGCAGCAACATGTCTCAAAAATTGGACAGGGTCATGTTTGTTACTGAAGCATATCATCTTTTAACCACAGAGTGTAAATGTCTAGAAACTGAGGAGACCTAGTGCCTGAGTTTTTGGAATTAAAGGTTGTCCTGTTTTTGTCTGATGTAGGATTCTTACTTTTCAACCATCCTGGGTCATCTTAATTTTTTTTTCCTGAGTGGTTAAATGTTTTCATGTCTGGACTGTAGGCAGACCAGATCAGCACCTGGACTCTTCTACTGTGACTTGTAATGGATGCAGTATGTTGTTTTAGTGATGTCTTGGATGTGCAAGGCCTTCATTGACAAACGTAATCTGGAAAAGGAGCATATGTTGTTCTAAAACCTTTACATAGGTCCTTAAAATGCCCCTCACCTCTTATTCATACTTTATGTTTTTACAGACATTTCTTGCTGCTGTCTCTGTTCAGATGTGTTGCTGCCATCAAATACAAAATGTCATTTTCTTAAAAATGGTAAAAGCTGCTTAGTTTAAACAGTTATGTTTGCAAATTCCATTGCAAATAAAATATGTTTATTTGTTTGTTTGTATGTTTAATCTGCAAATTACTGCATTCTGTTATTTACATTTTACACAACATCAAACTTTTTTGAAATTGGGAGTTGTAGTAATGAGTAATGGGTTAAATGTAAATGTCACTGCTATGCAGGTAGTAAAACCTTTCTTTTGTTTGTTTTGCTTAGTTGTATTTTCTCTCCATTAGGTGTTGCTTATCAGTGTTACCATGGTTTTCTAAGAGCTGTCCAGGAGGGAAACATCCAGTGGGAAAGTCGGACATACCCATATCCAGGAACCCCCATTACTCAGCGCTTTTCACACAGTCAGTATTTGCTGCCTCACACCACACAGTGTTAACTATTAAACTTATATTTAGTTTAGTTTTATCATCAGCTTTACATTTTGAGTACCGGTATATGTTCTCTAGTTTCTCAAGCACACTGTTTTTGGGAACTCTCGGATGCAGAGATCCAATTTTCCTTTTTTTTTTTTTTTTGGTCTGTTTGATGTATAAATAAGCATAATAAAAAATTTAAATATGTCTGACAAGCATAATTCAGAATTTTTTAAAGGTGTTTTCTTTTATCTTCCAGACACTTGCATCTAAATAACTTTAAATCTCTTAAAAAATGATCTGAGATGGCCTTTTTTTAAAACACTGCAAAAATTCTCCATTTAATGTTGATTTGTTATTAATATATTTACCTTTTTCTTTTTTGTGAATAATTGCAGGTGCGTGTTATTATGACTCAAATCAGTCCATGTATGTGTTTGGGGGTTGCACTCAGAGTAGCTGCAATGCTGCCTTCAATGATTTATGGAGACTTGACCTTAACAGCAAGGAATGGATCCGACCTTTAGCCTCAGGTGAGAACCTCGTGGTTAAAGAAACGGGAATTCTCAGCTTAGCTAATGTCAAGTAATCATTTGACTAATGTTGGGATATCAGTAAGAGGAACAGTCACATTTGTAAACACATTAGTCAGATGTGTAAAAGCAGCTCAGTGCGTAACATTTAGGAACTGTTAATAAAACTAGACAAACATGCCAGGTTGGCTTGTCTTGTAAGAACCTGTATGTTTTTGTAAAATCATATTTAATCTCTGCAAAATATATGTGTGATGTCAATAATTTTCACGCATCACATTTGATTGTTACTTATTTTTTACAGGCTCCTATCCGTCTCCTAAAGCTGGAGCAACTCTTGTGATGCACAAAGATCTGTTAGTGCTGTTTGGTGGATGGACACGACCCAGCCCTTATCCTCTGCACCAACCGGAAAGGTTTTTTGATGAAATCCACACTTATTCGCCATCAAAGAACTGGTGAGTGGGACGTTGGTGGTTCAGAGGGTTTGCTTTAGACAAACTAAGAAAATTTTGAGTCTTCAGTTTAACTTTTTGTTAATATTTATGTTTGTGCTCTTGTGTTTTCTTTTTCTCCAACCACCTCAGGTGGAACTGTATAGTAACAACACATGGACCTCCACCTATGGCTGGCCACTCGTCATCTGTAATTGGGAACACTATGGTGGTGTTTGGTGGATCATTAGGAGCACGTCAAACGTATGTACAATTGATTTCAAAATAATGATACATTTATAAAGAAAAATATGAAAATAGCCTCGGTGAAAGAAAACGTTTGCTATGTTCATGTTTTTATTGTTTTTATCAGGAGTAATGATGTCTGGGTTCTGGATCTGGAGCAGTGGTCCTGGTCCAAACCTTCGATATCAGGTCCATCACCTCACCCACGAGGAGGCCAGTCTCAAGTAAGAAGGATTCAGTGTTTAAACCAGACAGATTAGTCTGGTCCTGTTTGAAATAAAAAATTGTGTGCGAAATGAAATTCAATGTTTTTTCTCTTAGATTGTTATTGACGAGAAGACTTTGCTCATCTTGGGAGGCTGTGGAGGCCCTAATGCAGTAAGTTGTTATTATTTTTATCTGTCACATTAGTGTCAAAAGTTCTTGTCTGTTGGGAATATCCTATCCTTGTGGAAAATAAAATAAAATAAATAAACTGTCCAGATGACACGATTTAACTTTTTTTTTTTTTTTTATCAAAAGGAAGTTCAACACAATTTAGATACATTTTTTTCTGTCTTGTTTAAAAGCTCCTGAAAGATGCGTGGCTCCTCCACATAGACACCCCAACATGGAGGTGGCAGCTGCTGCAGGTGGAAAATCAGGAACATCGAGCTCCTGAGTTATGGTGTCACCCAGCTTGTAGGGTACGTTTTTTTACTCTGCTCTGTGTTTTTAATTATTTATTTTATCTTCTAAACATGCTCTTTTTCTCCTAGGTGGGCCAGTGTGTTGTGGTTTTCTCACAGGCGCCATCTGGCTGCGCGCCACTCAGCCCGAGTCTTAATTCTAGACCCTCTCCGATAAGTGCCACACCTGCCCCTCTGGGCCCCGAGCCGCCTTCCCTGCGCTCTCAGTCTCCCATTCGAAGTGGGGCTGCTGGTGTTGTCCTGGGAGCCGCTGAAGAGGCCCCATGTGTAAATGGTCGATGGGGCACTCTGAGACCTCGGCCCTCAGCTAGAGGAAGTGCCAGAGATGGGAGTCCATCTTCGTCCCAACAACCATCTCCTTTACAGGGTCCAGACAGCCCTCCTCTTCCTCCACTTCCTCCTCTGATAAATGGATCCTCTCCTTCTCCTCGGACAAGCCCAGCTCAGGGTGGGTCTCCCCCCTCTCGTCCTCACCTTCCTGGTTCCACAGACTATGGTTGGGAGTCTCCCCCCTCTGCTATCCATCACCCCGAGGTTCCAGGCACTAATGGCTTGCACACACCTCCCTCAGGCTCCCCACGCACGCCCCCAGGAGCAGTATCTCCCGCTGCCCTGCGACGAGGGCTGGAGGCAGTGAAGAACAAATCTTCCTCATCTTTAACATCGTCGTCGTCGTCTTCCCTTCAGGGGCCTTCTCCTGTAGGAGGCAGTGGTGGGGGAGGAGGAACCCCTCCTTCATCCTCGTCCAGCCCCCCACAAGCTGCTGCAGCGGATGGACATGCTATCCCACCTATAGCACGGCGCCTGGGTCATCACCCACCTCAGAGCCTGAATGTAGGAAAGCCCCTGTACCAGTCTCTTAACTGTAAGCCAATGCAGATGTATGTGTTGGACGTGTCCAGGGCCAAATCTAATGGTGTTGTGTCCTGGAAGGTTTATGGTAATGGTACTCCCGCTGCAGTTACAGGACCCCCAGAGACCAGCCTTCACACTGTGGTGCAGGGCAGAGGAGAGCTCATCATATTTGGGGGTCTTGTGGACAAAAAACAAAATGCAAAGTACTACCCTAAAACCAACGCCTTGTACTTTGTACGTGCTAAAAGGTAATGCAACTTCAGGCAGGACTAGGAACAGGAATGCTCCAACCTGTGACAAAACAAGGGAACTTACACACAAGGCCTTTTTTTCCTGTAGGAAGGATTATGAATTAAATAACATTATTGTTGCTAGATGTTTCACTTAAATTCACTATTGTCCCTTCTGCCTACCGCAAGCATTCAAAACACTTTAACTACACTTTGGTAAAACATTTGCCTGGATGAGAATCTTGTCTGTGTGTGTGTGTTTGTGTGCTTGTGACTAGCGAAAAGAGGGAACTGGACTAGTTTTGTTATTCCCCAAACAGTGAGCATCCAAACAAAAACATTTTTGGTGTTTTACTCCCTGAAAGAGCAAAATGTTTAGTAACTACCTTGCTTTTTCCATAACTCTTTAAGCCTGCAATGTTTACATTGAAGACAGTGTGAGTGTGTGGGTGTGTGTGTTTGTGTGTACACAGCGGAGGTTAAAAGTTGTTGACTAATGTGTGTCGGGGACCACGGTGGATAAGAGGTGTGGCACTGTACTATAAGCATAGTTGAACAATAAAGACCTCTATGTCTGCTCTGTCAAAGTGTTTGCTGCCTTTTAATGACATGAAAGCTTTTTAAGTAGGGGGTTGTTTTTTTGAAGAAAAGACAGTAATTAACATCTTACCTGTTTTAGATAGTTTTTTAAACCTCTGGATGAACAATTCTGACTGAATTGATGAGCTAACAATTTAAGTGGGGCCAAGACTAACGTGGATTGTTGTCATCTTGAAACAACTTTGATCTGAAACATTTTGATGTACTTGGTTATAGCAAAAAAGAACAATAGCTCAATCTGTATTCTGTTTACACATCAAATACCAAATTATTCTATGTAAGCATTCATGAACTGCAAACTTGATGGCAGTGTAAAAATTATAAAATAGATTTTGATCTGTTCAGAAAACGTTTGGTAATTAACCTTAAAGATGACGTCAGATCACTTTGGTCGCGGTCTTTGTTTGTCAAAACTGCTTCTTTCGGCTTTTCCCTATTTTTTATTTCTTCAAACCAAAGTTTTTCCAAGAGATGAGATAATGTGATCCTACCACAGAACATCACTTCAAAAATATCTGAACTGTTGCTTTAACTAACCCCTCTATAACTGCAACCCTAACTAGGAAACAAAACATTTTAGCAATATTTTTACTTCAAAGTTAGAAAATTATTTTATCTTTTGCTTTCCAGCAAGTAAATTCAGCAGGTTATAGTTTTTTTGTTTTAAGTTGATTGGTCTGATTCTTTTAGGAAATTTAAATGCTAACCAAAAAAAAAAAAAAAACCCCTACAACTTTCAATTCAAATAGCGTCTGGTATTCAAGAGCATAATCTAAAGGGCAGGAGTTTAAATACAATTCTTCAGTACCGGTAATTGGAACAATTCAAGCTTAATTTTCATTAAAGTTTAAGGTAAACATGGCGTTAAGGCTAGGACCCTGAATAATTATTTGTATAAAGTTACAACTCGGAGTACAAGTAGCATTAGTTGAAATATTTAATTACAGTACATGTATTTAGTGATTTGCCTTAAATTGGCAGTGGTGTAATTTAACCAAAACAATTATTTTTGCCAAAATTGTCTTTTATTCCACCCTAAAAATAGTTCAAGCATTGTCTTACAGGCATTTTGAGTCCCATCAACTATAGACCTTAATGTAGTGTGAGTAAATGTACTTGAACATTACTGAAGGTAAAATGATTTTCTTTCAGCTGCTCTTATCTAAACAACGGGGAAATTTGGATTTGGTCAGTTCATTCATGTATCAATGCTTCATGGCAATAAGTTGCATATCATTGGGAAAGCCCATTTTTAACACTTTAAATGGTGCCACATTTGTTGGAAAGAAAAACTACATCTGTCGGTCGTGTCCATGAAAACTGTGCCAAAATGTTCTCTCAATGTCAAACTACTTATTCTGCCATTGATTCTTGTTTTGACCTTCTAGTACCCCAGGTTCCGACAATCAAGCGCCTGATTTTCGGCACTTATGAGCATCCGGTGGCAGCCCCAATCTACAGTCTGGGACCACACTCGCCCAGAACTGGGTTCATCAAAAACTACCTGCAGATTTTGAAAGTGTAGAAGTTGGAATGGCCTGCCTACAGTCCTGAGCTCAACCCCACTGAAGACTTGTAGGATCAGCCTGGGTGTGTTGGTTGTTTCAGGGTGACCATCATGCCCACAGTGGCTGTCTTGAGACATGCTGGTTGAAGAAAGGGATGCCACCATGACGGTGTGTGACCAAGCTGCACGAGGAGGATGTGTCAGGCTGTTGTAGCTGTGTATGGTTCTTCCACATGTCACTGAGGTCCCTGTTTGTTAAATGAACAATATGTCTTGTTTCTTAAATTTTAAATTATCCAAGTTTCTTCAAATTTAAATCACCCAACTAAACCAATTTCCTAACAAAGGTGGCACCATAAGGGGAACAGATTTTCTAACCTTATAAGAATAATTGCCTAGAAGCATTGATAAAACAAAAATATATTGACCAAGCACAAATTCTTACTTTTTGTGCTAAGTTGTTCTTTTTTGCATCTCTTCATTAAAATCAGATTCCAAATTCAAATTCCATCTTCTACACTCCCAAAAGTTTCCTGCTGGTGTTTTTACTTTGTACAACAGCACACAGAACAGGAAAAAAGAAAACAAAAATGAATCTCCTAAATTGCCGTAAGGTTGATTATGAAATTATTTCACTACACATGCATTGGTTAAAGTCTTATAGATCAGTCACAGTCTTCTTAAATAAGTTTTCATAATCAAAAGGTACAATAAACATAAGAAAAAACATATTTATGTGACACTTCCTAGTTCCAGTTAGTTCTGGGGGAAGAACAGAAGTTCTGGGGGAGAACAGAAGTTCCAGCAGAACAGAAGTTCCAGGGAGTACAGAAGTTCTGGGGAGAACAGAAGTTCCGAAAGTTCTGAAGTGCTGGAGTTAGTTGGGAGTTCTTCCGAGTCTAGTTGGGATTATGGAACCGTTGAAGGACTCACAGCTCATGTGAGTCCACCCGGGAGGTGAGCGTGTTGTTGAACGGAGTACCGTCACTACTTCGGACGATTCTCAGTCATCCTAAGGAGATGCTGAAAGGTAGCGTTGAAATGGAACTCCGTACCGGAGCTGACCTATCTTCTGCAAAGGTAACGAGTCGCTTCACTACCGAGTGTACCAAGGCTGAGCTGGGATCGGATGGAGGGTGCTGTTCCTCGCCAACACACTTTCCCTCCATTCAAACTCCTTCATTCCCCATCTTTAAAACTCTTCTATCTTGCCAGTAATTAATCCAGATATCTTCAAAAACTTTACTCCATCTCTATATTTCTCTGCCAGTAAAATGATAAGCTAAAAGTCTGCAGACATTAATTTAAGATCTAAGGAAATGTCTGTTGTTTTTATTAAGTAAAACGTGCCAAGTTTTATTAATCAGAGCCGATCAGAATAATCAAGTGTACAATGTTTTGATGTTAAATTTTGATTCTGTTAATAAATGACCACATTCATTTTGATGGGTCAAAGAAAATTAACGTCTCATGTCACTGATTAGACCATCTCCAACACAGTACCTCTGTCACATATCTGTCAAGTAGCTCGAAAAAGAGAGAACCCGTTATTAAATATTGATTGTAGTGGAGCTCCTAAGCTAACTGAAGCTAACTTAACCCTACATCACTACACAAACGTGAATAGAAAATCAGTCCTAAAATGGAAATTGCATATAGATTTGTTTGTTTTGCTTCAGTGACTCAGCAGATTGTATTGTTTTTAGGCTTCTTGGTCTAATTCTGACACCTCTTGCCCTGCTTTCCCTTCAGATTCTCCCACCTCACCCCTCCCTTTATTCTATGAAACACTAACCTTTTACCCAGAGAGAGCCAGAACAGGGGGCAGTCTGCAGCACAGACATCTGATTCGTGCACGCTCAGGACAGCGATGAGGTGGCAGGCCGCACTGGAACAGCATTGGCTCAGAGGCGAAGCAGAAGGAGGAGACTTTGACAATGAACGAGCTGCTGAGGACACATGTTTACAATGATGGGGGACAGAGGAAGAATGAAGCTGCTCAGGATCACCGAGACACTGTGAGTTTCTTTGTCAAGTCAGCAAATTCTGAGGACAAGTCATATTCTTTGTGGACAAACTCACTTTCTGACTGTGTTCTGCCTTCATGCCTGCAGGTGTGTGCTAAATGAAGCTGTCTGAGTTGTAAAGTTTGTGTGTTCATTGAAAGTTTAGCAGCAGGAAGTTCACTCTTATTTAACACCATAAACAAAAGAACCTGATTTTTTTGTTCTCGGATTTACTGCAAACGTTCGTCTCGAATAAGAAGGAAGCTCTTTAGCCTGGTTTATGTAAACAAGACTGAACTTTAGCAATTAAAACGTGTTTTTGCTTAATCACCAACAGGTTCTCTTGGAGTCGGTGGCTCGTTTGTGCGGACTGATGGTCCTGGACAGGGCCGGTCTCCTGCAGTGTCAGAGGACAAACATGCAGAACAGACTATAAGTGATCATAGCAGCTGATAACATGTTTTTTTCTGGACCTCACTGTATGATAACCGGTAGAAAACAGTCTTCTTCACTGACTGACTTTTAACACAGACCAACTTTATGGATCACTCACAGCTGCTGAAAACGTCACCCAAAGAGCCTGTATTTGGGGCCCAGCCTTCCCACAGGATGACATCCTCTGCAGTCCCCTGCACCGTTTTTGTCCCCTCACCTGCCCCCCCAGCAGTCTGGCCACCTCTAGACTTTGCTCTGGGCGCTCTGGCCTGCTGTACAGCCTGTGTGTTCACCAATCCTCTAGAGGTGGTGAAGACTCGTCTGCAGCTTCAGGGGGAGCTTCGTGCTCGGGGGTCCTACCAGATCCACTACCGGGGAGTCCTGCAGGCGCTCTGGGTGGTGGGCCGCACAGATGGGCTGCGAGGCCTACAGAAGGGCCTCTCGGTTGGGCTGATCTATCAGGGTGTGATGAATGGAGTCAGGCTGGGCTCTTACTCTTACTGTGAAGCTCTGGGCATCACCTCGTTCCATGGGGGGAGTCTGCTGTCAGGAGCCTGGGCTGGGGCTCTGGGGGCCTTCATCGCCTCTCCCGCCTACCTGGTGAGTTAACGTTCACACTTTTACTGCTTCTTCCACAGCAGCAATTCCAGTTTGCGTCATTTGCTCTCAAGTCTGTCACAGTTTGTGTTTTTAATCATTTTTTGAAATTCCACGTTTGGTTCTGGTTCATTATTACCGCAATTTCTTGAATATAAGCCGCTACTTTTTTTTACTCACTTTGAACACCGCGGCTTATACAATGCTGCGGCTAATTTGTGGAATTTTTTTTTTTTTTTTTGATGGACTAACAATCTTCATGCCGCCAAAACATTTAGCCTCATCACACCTGGGTGCTCACATAAATAAAGGTTGAATGAACATAGCTGCCCGTCTCTCTTGTGGGGTGGATCCTTGCGACTCATTGAGACTACATGTATAAATAACGGTTAACAAAAGATGAAGATCAATGACTTCTTGGTAGGCTACTGTATTTACTTATTTATTTTCAACCAGCCATTTTACAGGCACTGTTCAGATAAAACCATTTACTGTACGTATTTGTATATCCTACCGATACATATTTAATGAAAAGTTTTAAAAAGCTCTGTGTAAATATCTCATGTTACTTGCGAGACCCGCGGCTTATTGACAAATGCAGCCTATATATGTACACATTTATTTTTCTTTTTAAATTTAGTGAGCATGGATTATATCCAGGTGCACTCGATAGTCCGGAAATTATAATATGTTTTTAAGGGGGTGGTGGTGGTTGTGATTGTGACCCCTGATCCCTGCATGTACCCAAGTACTTCATTTTTTTCTTTAAAAAATGTGCACTAGTAAAAATGTAAAAATGAATTGGTAAACACAAGAAAAATCTAAGCGGTCCAGTTTGACTGGCGTATTTTTCTTGTTTTATTTTGCAATTAGACTGAAAAGTTTATGCACTCTATACGTTTTAATAATAGTTGTACTTTTTTTTTTTTTTTTTTTTTTACTGTCGTTTGCAGTAAATTTAACACAAGTCCAGTAGGTCATAAATTCCCCCCCCCCTCCCCCCCAAAAAAAATAGAAACCACTATTTTTGCAATTTAGTTTCTTTCCTAGTAAACGTACAGATGCACCAAGAGTTGTTGATTGCAGTAATCATATCTCCGACAACAGTTCAGATTATGTGGCGTTGCATTCTTTAGAAAAGTTAATATAAACAAATAATATACCTGTTGTACATGGCTCTATGAATAAAATCTGTTTAGCTAATGATCTAATGGCTAGTCTGATGGGGGCAAGACCAAAGTGGATTCCAGTTGTATTAAAATAACTCCTGTTCAAACAAATTTTTAAACTTTTTACGATTGTCAGTTTCACGTTACACGATTACTTTGAATTTGTTTGTTAGCAGCAGCTGTATCTGGTGCAGTCTGAGACATTTCTATCAGATATAATGTTTTGGCTGGAGTAACTCGTGTAATTTAAACTGATATCAAAGTAAAGGTTTATAAAATAGCATTCAAATGAACTGGTATATATTTTTTGAGACTAGAGTTTTTTAAAAGGCACTTTGATCCTCACTCAGACTAACCGTTAGCTCGTCAATCTGGTCGGAAACCAATTTTTTCCCAAGTTGTGGTCTTTTTAATATCATGTTTGTGTTGACCATTTTGTTTTCTTACTGTGCTCCAAAAGTAGGTCAGCTCCACTCAGAGCTGTACTAAAAATAATATGAACTGTCCGCTGTGATGATTAGAAAGAATTCCTGAAAGACTGGCTGAGCCAACCTTGCAGCAAACAATGAGTTTTTGAAAGCCTCAACAAGTAGTTCAGTTAAGAAGCAAAACACCAACACCTAAAGGGATCTATAGTCTGAAGACAAATGTGAAAGTTCAAAATATGATATGACGATAAATATATCCATTTCCCTTCAACATCCTGACAGATATACTTTCCAAAATAAGTAAATAAATACATTTGAGCTTGGCTTTTAAACAAAATATATTTGCATCAAGTTAAATTATCTGTCTCTTAATTAATTACACTTTATTTAAAATGTCACCAGAAGTGTTTGTTAATTTGTTATTTTTATACCCCAACCATCAGTCTGGGGCACTCTGACCCGTCTTAACCCTTTGCAAGTCTAGAAAGAT